ATTCATACATTCACAGATCATAGTTTCATACATTCACAGAATCAAAGCCCAAAACTTCAAATGCCCGATACATTCACGGTTCCATACATTCAATGTAATCAAGTCCAAATGTCCGATACATTCATAGATCACAGTTTCATACATTCACAGAATCAAAGTCCAAATGTTCGATAGACCGATACATTCACAGTCCAATAGAGATATCAAACTCCAAACTCCAAAGCCGACAAATAACAGAAATAACCAAAATAAACTGTTAAGTGCAATGTTGTCTCATTAAAAACATTTTTAGGTAAAATTCACCCTTGTGAGAAATCCTAGAAAGAAAAAAAGAGTGCAGCCAGCTCTTAATTAACTATTGTTCAAATGATAGACAAGTCTTTCACAGTCACACACACCCTTTCACAGTCACAGATCACACACACCCTCAGGAGTCAAGTCTCAACCTCAGTACCTCACTAAGTACCAGGAGCACCACCAGCAGTCCATCTTCATCAAGGTACAAGTTGGAATGAGTCTTCAAGCTTTTGGTTGTCAACAAGCATGTTGTTCACTTTTTCTCCTAACTCCCAATCCTTTAAGCGATTCAAAGCATCTCCAGGTCTCTGGTGTGACAAGCGCCGCCGCCGTTCCTCAATTATCCTACCTGTTAAACTGAAACAAGACTCCGAAGAGATAGTAGATACAAGAACTGATATGATATCTCTAGCCATTATAGACAGGATTGGAAAGATTAGCTTGTGGTCACGCCACCACAGAAGTAGGTCAAAATCATCCTCATAAGAAATAACATTGTTACTGTCTAAGTAAGCTGAGAGCTCACAAACAACAGAAGTAGATGAAGATGAAGTAGCAGGGAGGGAGAGGGGAAGGACCAACAACACCTGATCCACGGCCAAAATTTTTTCCCCATGCTTGCTTTTTCTTACCTGTATGATGTGATGGTTGTGCAACCATTTAAGACCTAGCTGTACCAAACTTGCTCTCATATTTGTTAAACAGTTTATACAATTCAATTTTGACATCAGCATAGTATGAACTGTACTCAGAACCAGTGTATTCACCAAGTAATTGCAGCACATTAAAGAAACCTCTCATCTTAGCTCTAGGATCAAGAATGAATGCATATAAATATAATAGAGGTATGTCCTATCAATATTTAAGGAATTTAAGCTTCATATGATATACAATAGCTCTCAGATTATGATCTTTTTCACATGCATGCAAATGAGAAGCGATCTCTAGGATATGGTGCAGAACAAGTGGACTTGTAGGATAATAAACACCAGACAGAACAACAGTGGAGTCATAGAAGAGTTTCAGGAACTCTAGTAACTTCTCAGCAAAATACCAATGATTTGTAGTCAACAATTGTGAACCATAATGGAAATTAATAAACACAGAAAAGACGTTCTTGTATGGAACCAAGTGTTTAAGCATCAGGTAAGTAGAATTTCATCTCACATCCATATCCAAGCCAAACTTTCTAGGTCTAACACCCTTAGCATTACAGTATTCCTTGAACAATGCAATTCTTTGATTAGAGAAATTTAAGAAGTTAATTGCAGTTCTAAAATTTTCTGTGTAAGGTTTCGATCTCTTTAATCCAGATTTTACAATGATATTAATGATATGACAAGCACAACGCTGATGTACAAGACTGTACTTACGGTTACTAGGATCCAAAAGATCAGGTGAAGGATCAAGACCCAAGTAACAAGTAAATAGAGGTGTCAAAGTGTTCATAGCCTTAGTATTAGAAGAAGCATTGTCTAGAGTGATAGAGAAAATCTTGTCAATCAGACAATACTCCTCAACCACAGCAGCAATTCTTTCAGCAATGTTTTCACCAGAATGTTTAACCTCAATCAGCCTAAGACCAATAACCATTTTCTGTAACTCCCAATCAGCATTCACATAGTGAGTAACAACACTAATATAGTCCTCCTTATCCTTACCAGACCAAATGTCTGAAGTCAAAGCAACAAAAGAAGCAGCAGGCAATACAAAATTCTTAAGCTTATCACGGCGTTCAGTAAATAGCTTACCAAGATCTCTAGTGGTGGTCTGTCTAGAAACCTTGGCAAACCTAGGGTTATGAGCAAGAACAATGTAATCCTCCCATGCATGTGACTCGTCTATACTTAATGGAAGGTCAAGCCTAGCAATCAACCTACACAACTCAGAGCGAGCAACAGCAGGATTGTAGTCCCAGTTATGCACAGATCCATCAGGATTGAAAGAAAGCCTAGACTGAACCGTAGCAGCATGATCAGCCTTTTTCCTACAAGATCTCTGATGCCTAATCAAATGGCCAGTGCCAGCAGAAGATCTAGCAGACAATTTACTCTTACACATTTTACAGATAGCGGCAGTTCAAATCTTTTGACCATTCACAGTCTCATAGATCTCATAAAATCAACCCAGACACCAGATTTACGCTTACCAAGGCATGAGGTGCCATCTGTGCTATTGGAGCCGACCGGCGTCCCTGTCGTCGTCGCCGACGGCGCCGGCTCCGCCCCTCCACCACCGTCGCCACCGTCCAGATCGAGCGGAGCAGAGCCGCTACCGACATCGATACCCAACAATGCAGCAGCGTTGTCACGGATGTCGTCGTCGTCCTCTGGGAGCAGCCCTGCCGCGATCAGGTCATCGTTGCCGGTGAGTGGATAGACGACATCGTCGTCATCCGCCATGGCGACCTTGACTGTAAACGGCTGATCTCCAGCACCGTTCCTCAACGGTGCGCGGCCACTGTGCCCGGTCTATGCCACAGGAAGAGGACAACGAGGCATCGGCAACCGACCTGCACGGAGGAGAAAAACAGAGAGTAAGAGAGATAGAGGTACAGATCCACAGTCGTTCAGTGGAAGAGATACAAGAAGTGGAGCAGACAGATCTAGGGTTAGGGTTAGAGTTAAGGTTAGGGTTAGTGGAGTACCTACGCAACCGGAGCCCGGTGCCGGAGATGACGAGGGCCACTTAGAGGAGAGAGACCGATTAGAAACGACGGCGAACGGCGGAGGAGGGGCGGACGGGAACACGGTCACGAACTCACATAGTTCACCTAGAGCGAGAGAGCGAGAGAGGGAGAAGGGAGGAGAGTGGAGACAGGGTCAGATAGGCGGATCGAGGTCACCGGAGTCGAGGACAACGGACGAGATCAGTAGATCACAAGAGAGAGCTCAGATTCGTCAGATCGTGGATGCGACCGATGCGCGCGAGAGAGAGAGAGAGAATAGAGATTGCGTCGCGGCGAGCCGACGAGCGAGTGTGGATTAGGGTTAGGGTTGGGAGCGGACTGCGGAGCCGGCCGCCCGGCGAGGCGACTGGGCGAGCGGGGATCGGCTACGCCGCGGCGAGCGAGTGGGGATTAGGGTTAGGGTTGAGAGCGGAGCGGAGCGGGCGAGGGGCGAGGCGACTGGACTGCGGACTGCGGAGCGGTCGAGGCGAGGCGACAGGGACGCGCCGCTTATATATGCCGGGCGGGAGGCGGTAGGCCGGGCCGCTTAGCGGGCCGGCTGTTCTGTAGCAGGCCGTGCCATGCCGGCCCACGTGCCTGGGGTAAGGCCTAGGCACGGCATGCTCCTTCGGGCTGGGTCGACGGGTTCAGGCTGCATGGCCATCTATGCGTGCAAGGTTATCACAAGTAACAAAAATCCATGGATCGAAGCGAGGAACGGAGAGGAAATCCTGACTAGTTAGCTCGAGAAATTTGACTGAATACTGAGCATGTGACCCAAAAATTCTTGCAGCAGGCTGATTCTGACAGATCAATGACCGAACTGATGCCATTGTCCGATGCTGATGCCGACAAGGAGGAATGCCCACTAGTACTTTGAATCATATCATTCACAGGGCATAAAACATAACAGGAACCAGCCATAAGGCACGCATATAACACACGGAACATTGATTTGTGCCCAAAACAGTATTCAAAACATAACACCCCAGGCAGCTAATTAGTTGTTCTTAACGAGTACGATAGTGTAATAAACTTAAACTACCCGTGCATGCTGCCACTCAACAAGTCAAAATGGAACCAGATAATTAATTCAAGCTACAAACGCAGCACATATCACTAGGCTTCGGCAAGCCGCGTAGTACAGGTTACTTCAGCCATCTCAAACTAGCAATGATATGGAGATCGTAAGACTAATAAAGCATTTCTTTAACTCCCATCGTGTAAGTGTATTTCCTCCTGCGGCGAGATTTGGGTTCAGAGATGAACTCATCATCAGATTTATCCTCGTCCACAAAGTCAGGATGGCGCCAGTGTGGCATAGGCACAGGCCACCTGTAGTTCAATCGAATAAAATAGTTTATATGTCCAGAACTTAACTCCATCTTAGTATTATTTTCAACATGCATGTGAATACCTACCTGTTTAACACAGTTTTCTCATCTCCAACTACCTCCCAGAAAGGTGCACCAGACACCAGAGGGATGCCTATAGCCAACCTCACCAGGTTTACTGTCAGACATAGCAATAAAAAGATTATAGTTCACTCGACCTGCTTCAGCAAGTTTCTTTAAATGTGACAGGAAAACAACATATGTGATGTGCACTTGGATACCTTTTTGTATCAAACCAACTTCGAATTGTCAAAATGTCCTCCCATGCTAGATAAGGGGTTCCTATTCTCGTATCGTAGAAGTTCATGCCAACAACATCTCCATCAAGATTAACAAGTGGGCCTTTGTCCAATAATATATAGGTTTTCTCAAAAAAAAATGATACAGTTACATTCATATTCCAAGGTACTTTCTCGGTGAGTGATCGATGTCGATCGGATACGGAGATTAACTAATTTAATTGTGAAAGGAGATGAAAGGAACTCGTGAGTCCCCTCTCCCCCCTTCTGGGGCGGCCGCGGCGGCGCCCCTACCCCGGTGACCCCCTCGCCGGAACTCCGCGCCCGCCCCCACCCCCTTCCGCGCCCGTCTGGTGAGCCCCTCCTCCTCTCCCTGCTCCCCCTGCTCCTTCTGTCCCTGCAATGGCTGTCTCCACTGGGCTGCTTTCCCTTTCTGAGGCGGCTCAGGGCGAGAGGTTCGCCGCCTTTGTCCTCCGCTCGTTTGTCCGGCCGGTCTCTTCTTCATCTCCGGTACATGGTGCTTTCTCCCTTTTGGTGGCTTTCGGTAGATGCCGCTTCCGCCTTGAGGAGTCATTTGTTGCGCAGTCCCTCAGTGCTATCCTCGGAGGACCTGTGGACTCCTTCAATGTGTGCTTGGTGGAAGAGAGGATTTTTCTCTTCTCTGTTTCTTGCAAAGAGACTGGCTTCGAAATTTACAAGCTGAGGGCCTTCAAATGTGTGGAGTTTGAGCTGTTCTTCCAGCTTTTCAACGATTCTGGTCTCTCTTTTCTTGGTCCCATATTAGCTGTTCACTGGTTTTTCCTTGGGAAGAAGTTGGCAAGAAACCTTCATATGCTGAGCTGTTCAGAAGCCGCCCTCTCGGGTGCTAACAAAATTCCATTGCGTTCCCGGTCATCCTCCAAGCAGAAGCAAGTCTCTAAAGTTCATCGCAAGTCTGTGTTTGATCGTATCCAGTTCCCAAGGCGATCGGTTTTTGATCGGCTGAGCTGGGATTCAGGCAAATCTGTGAAGAATTCGAGCTCTGTCAAGCCGGTTTTCAGTGTTCATCAAAGTGCAGCTACTGAGATGCTGAGTAACTCTATTCTTCCTCCAGTTCATCCCTCAACTCAACGGCAGGATTCTCATTCTGGTGGTTGGAATTTAGATTTGAATTTGGGGCTGGCTCATAATGACTCTGGGATTCCCACTGACTTGGCCCCTTCGGCTACTGTGCTATGCTGGCGTTGTCATTCCTCTTCCCACCCAAGGAGTGCACGCAGAGCCCCTATTAAATGTGACAAATGCTTTGGGTGAGGCCATGCCTGCTTCGATTGCGCTAACTGGTTCAACCCAGCGAGAATGACAGCGGGCCCTTCAAGCCCACCGCGGTTCTCAGGCTTTCTTGATTCCTACGCTGGCTCTTCAGCTTCTCATGCTATACACAATATACATTGGAGTCTCCACAATTCACCGCGGGTGACTGAGCACTGCACTGTTCTCCCAGAAAACCCCAATTCTCCTCTCCCTCAACCTGCAGAGCTCGGTGTTGCGGGGTCGCAGATGGACTATCTCCGCGCCGACCCTACTCCCTTCATCCCCCGTGGCCTCAACTGCATTGAGGTTCAAGCTCGTAAGCCGATGGAGCGAGTGGTGTTGATGCATCCAAGAGCCAAGAATCATGATCTGGCTATCGCCACCATTCGCCCGATGCCGCCGCATCAGGTAACCTTTCACAATATTAGCGATGTTGTGGCAGATTTCTTGACAAATGGTTAGCATGTGGAGTTCACCGACATGCAGCCAACACACCTTGGGCAAGCTTTCGTTAGGTTCAAGAATGTGTATGACAGAGATCGGTTGATCGAGATGAGTCCTTTTCAGTTTGGGGATGTTTCTGTTGGATATAATATGGGCTTGACTCATATAGTATTTAATAAATCAAATAAAACTCTATGTTACGTAATGTTAAGTGTTGTATAGACCATACGGGATTTTTACTGAACGTTGACTCAGCTTATATGGTTGGAAATTATTCATCTAAATTGAGAAGCCGAGAAAAGGATAAAGTCGTGCCACGCGCACGCCGCCGCCGCCGCTGGCAGCGGCCGGACCGTGGCCGCGGGCGCGGGCCGAGGCCGTGGCGGGCGGGCGTGGCCAGTCTTTTGTCACTTAAATCCACATTATCACAGGAGTTTCGCTCCTTGATGGTGGAGGCGAATTGACTGCGTCAGTTATCGTCCCTTCCGCTTCCGCTTCCCGTCTCCTGGGATTCTCCGTTGTCTTCGTCTCCTTCCCCGGACGCAGCCATATATCCCGTCCTCCGTCAGTCCAGATCTTGTCTTCCGCAACCGTTCCGAGAGATCCACACTTCCGCAGCCCTCAGTCTTTCCTGTCCCGTTCCTCTGCGCGCACGGAGTAGCGGGAGAGCAGGTGCCTCCGGAACCCTCGTCCGCTGGAGAACCTTGCACGGGGTGCGCGGTGATTAGGTTTTTGGGGAGCAATCCGTGACTGCTCGTCCATCTTCTTCCTGCTGGAGATTGCTCTTGGATCCGTCTTCTCCCTGAAACGACAAGGCGTCTTCTTCCTGGTGATCCATTCATGGGACTACACTATGAACATCTTCCTGCATCGACTGTGGTCCGCGACTTCGAGCAACGCACTATGTCGACTAGTGCGAATGGAGCCTCCGATGCCCTCAGCATGGGACCCTCCACTGGGTACAGTCTAATCTCTGTGATTACTGTATTTTGTATTTATACTGTATCGATCTGTATGTCATCTATGCATGCTGTAGCGTTCATAAGAAATATACACATGCACATATATGCCGTCACAAACCTGCTGATGTTATATTTCTGGATTAAACTGATAATGAAAATGTCTAAATATTTAACAATCTAAAAACCTAATAATAGGTAATTTTCTGTCAGTGGATTTGTTGCCGCTTTGAAGCCGAATAATTTTGATGGCAATAATTTTATGATATGACGTGCAAAGATGGTGTTGTGGTTGACCGCGATGAAGCGCAAATACGCCGCATTGGGAAGCTTTGAGCAGTTTACTCCTGAGGAGGAGCGAAAGTTCTTGGCTGCCGATAACCTGTTTCGAGGCGCCGTTATTAGTGCATTTCATCCCAAGTATGAGAAAAACTACATATCTTGCACATCAGACAAAGAATTATGGGATGCTCTTGAGGCAAAGTTTGGGGTTTCTGATGCTGACAGTGAGTTGTACCTAATGGAGTAGCTGTATGACTATAAAATGGTTGAAAACCGTTTTGTGGTCGAACAGGCTCATGAGATACAAGCGCTAGCGAAGGAACTAGAACATTTTCCATGTTTATTGCCTGACAAGTTTATGGCCGGCGGTATAATCGCTAAGCTGCCACCTTCTTGGAGGGATTTTGCTACTTCTCTAAAATACAAGAGACAAGAGTTTAGCGTGGCTGAGCTTATTGGATCTCTTGATGTTGAGGAGAGGGCGAGAGCAAAAGACAACCGTGGAAAAAGAGTTGAGTCTTCCGCTGCCAATATGGTGTAGAAGAAAAAACTCATTTGCATCTCATAATAAAAAGAAGAAGAACATGCAAGAGAACAACAATGCAAAGCCTAAGCAGACTGCATAGTTCAAGAAGAAAAACAACAAGAAAGGTGGAGGATGCTTTGTTTGCGGGAGTGATGAGCATTGGGCAAGTGCGTGCCCAGGCCGCAAATATAAGCAAGAAAAAAAATCAGCAAACATGATAATTAGTGAGATTGGAGGAGGAACATATGAGTATGGTAATTCTTTACCCTTTGTTCTTTCAGTTTGTCTTTCACCTGAGTGGTGGATGGACAGTGGTGCTAATATTCATGTGTGTCTTTGATGTTTCTTTGTTTATTTTCTATCAGCCGGCAGAACTAGAGCCTTCCCGATGGGAAACAGCAGTTAAATATGCGTGTGTTCTTGGTCTTTGGTACACTCGCTCGAAGTTTACTTCAGAAAGACGGTGCTATTGAAGAACGTGCTGGCATGTCCCCTCCATCAAAAAAGAACCTTGTTAGCGCTTCTCGAGATGTGTTGCGATGGCTTTAAAATTGTGCTTGAGTCCAATAAATGTGTTGTATCGAGACATGGAACATTTGTTGGAAAATGTTATGATTGTGGAGGCTTGTTCCGCTTATCTTTGCTTGATGATATGTGTAATAAAGTGGTGAACAATGTTAATATTTCGGATGAGTCGAATATTTGGCATTCACGACTTTATCATATTAATTTTGATGTTGTCTCATGCGGCTTGCAAATCTGAATTTAATCCCGAAATTTAACTTAGTCAAAGATTTTAAGTGCCGGATGTGTGTGCAATCAAAGCAACCATAAGCCCCACAAGGTCATTGAGGCAAGGAACTTGGCACCGTTAGAACTCGTTCATTTCGATATATGCGAAATGAATGACGAATTGACTAAAGGTGGTAGACGATACTTCATAACATTTATAGATGATTGCACTAGATTTTGCTACGTGTATTTATTAAAAACAAAAGATGAAGCGTTGCATTATTTTAAAGTCTATAAAGCTGAGGTAGAAAATCAACTTGAGAAGAAAATCAAGCGTTTGCGGTTCGATCGCGGGAGAGAATATTTCTCAAATGAATTTTCTGAGTTTTGCGCGGTGCATGGAATTATTCATGAGGACGCCACCATACTCACCACAGTCCAATGGGATTGCAGAGAGAAAGAACCGCACTGTAACTGATTTGGTTAATGCCATGTTGAAGGCTGCGGGACTATCTAAGGAATGGTGGGGTGAGGCTATTTTGACAGCATGTCATGTCCTGAATAGAGTGCCCACAAAGAACAAAGAAATTACACCATTCGAGGAATGGGAGAAGAAGAGATTAAATCTCTCTTACCTGCGAACTTGGGGTTGTTTGGCAAAGGTGAATGTGCCAATAAACAAAAAGCTAAAGCTTAGACCAAAAACTGTTGATGGTGTCTTTCTTGGTTATGCTATTCACAGCGTGAGTTATATATTTTTAATTATAAACTCTAGTGTTCCTGAGATGGCTATTGATACAATCATGAAATCTAGAGACACAACATTTTTTGAGAATGAGTTTCCCATGAAAAATGCACCTAGCACAACTAGTCATAAATTTATATTTCCCCATGAGCATGAAAATTTTATTCCGAAAGAATAAATTGAGGAACCCTATGTGCAAAATCCTGAGAAGGATGACACTATAGTCACCAGGAAAAGCAAGAGACAGAGGGTTGCAAAGTCTTTTGGTGATGACTATATTGTGTACCTTGTGGATGACACACCAACGACCATTGAAGAGGCATATTCTCTCTCCGATCTTTGACTTATGGAAGGAAGCAGTACGAAGTGAGATGGATTCTGTTATGTCTAATGGAACTTGGGAAATTGTTGATTATTCCTATGGGTGCAAGCCTATAGGGTGCAAATGGGTGTTCAAGAAAAAGCTTAGGCCTGATGGTACTATTGAGAGGTACAAGGCAAGGCTTGTGGCCAAGGGCTATACTCAAAAGGAAGGTGAGAATTTCTTTGATACTTATTCACCGGTTGCCCGGTTGACCACAATTCGAGTTTTGCTTTCCCTGACAGCCTCTTATGGTCTTATCGTTCATCAAATGGATGTTAAGACAACTTTCCTAAATGGAGAGTTGGAGGAGGAGATCTATATGGATCAGCCTGATAGGTTTGTAGCAAATGATCAGGAAGGCAAGGTGTGTAAGTTATTAAAGTCATTATATGGCCTGAAACAAGCTCCTAATCAGTGGCATGAGAAGTTCGACAGAACTTTAACATTCTTTGGCTTTGTTGTGAATGAAGGCGACAAATGTGTGTACTATCGATATGGTGGGGTGAAGGAGTCATTTTGTGCTTATATGTTGATGACATACTTGATCTTTGGATCTAGCCTCAAAGTGATCGAAGAAGTGAAGGATTTTAACTAATAATTTTGAGATGAAAGATTTGGGAGAGGCTGATGTTATTCTTAATACCAAGCTTCAAAGAGAAGGTGATGGTGGGGTAACTCTGTTACAAACCCACTATGTGGAAAAGGTGCTGAGTCGCTTTGGGTTTAGTGACTGTACACCTGCTCTTACACCTTATGACCCTAGTGTGCTATTGAGGAAAAATCAGAGAATAGCAAGGGATCAGTTGAGATATTCCCAGATCATTGGTTCGCTCATGTATCTTGCTAGTGCAACAAGGCCTGACCTCTCATTTGCTGTGTGCAAGCTGAGTCGGTTTGTGTCAAACCCAAGAGATGATCACTGGCGTGCTCTTGAGAGAGTGATGCGCT